AGACAAACACTCAGTTTCTCTGACTACAGAATTGATGTATATCTATCTTTTGCAATGAGTTTAGGGATTATCTGGTACCAAAATACTTAGAAATTAATGAAGTGAACTGTTTAGAATTCTGAGTTTTAGTTAAGAAATAGTTTGCACTTATTACACATTTGTCTGTTATTAGATTAACACAAGCAATATTTTCAAGGATGGCTAAATACTTTAGGAGCCTGGTTTCTAGGTTTAAAAACCAAAGGCTTGGGGAGAAAAAGCTGTCTAACGACATGCAGCTATCATCAACTTTTAGGCAGAGTGTAACCAACAATCAGTAATTTGCCATAAAAATTAACTCCTATTTAATTACTGCTATCAGGGATAATCAAATGAGGAAACTGAAAGCAGAGATCAAGTGGTGGCATCATATTTTGGTAAAAAAGTCTTGGAAACCTGCTCTCATGCGTTGTGTCTAATGGAAAGATTAGTTGCATTAGAAACAGCACGTGACAGCTGTATTAGTCTGCTTCAAGTATTATTTACCCCTGAAGAAGTCAGCTGCAAAAGGGAGTACTCACATATAGGGGAATCTCAGAGACCTGGCATCTGCAGCTGGGCAGAAAAGTACATTATTTTATAAAGATTCTAATAAAGAAGGCAAATATAATTCAAACTTAATTACATTCACTATTTTTTTTTTTTTAATTTTATTTTGTTTGGTTCGTTTTTAAAATAAATAACATAATTGTATCTAGATAAGAACCTGTTCTGAGGGTCCTTTTGAGGAATAAGCAAGTTTCATCTTGGGTTTCTTGCACAGCTATATGCTTAAGGAATAAAGAAACAGAAAATTAACAACATTTAAGCAACTTTCAACTTTTAATTTCACTTGAGGCAAATCTTAGATCAACAGAAGGTCATAATCCTGTAGAAATTTTAAGCAGATCTATCCTAAACAGTGAATAATTTGTTAAAATTCTCTATTTACAGTCTCACACGTTCCAAATGCCTTGTCTTCCACATCTTTTCCTCTAAAAGTATCTTCTTTTTGCAGAAAGGGAGGAAAAAGGAGAGAAGGAAAATAAATACAAATTACCAGTTTAAATTAGATTAAAAAAATAATAAAAAGTATGGTGCACTCCAAAATTGACCATGATGGACAGACTCTTCAAAACTAAAAAATATGTTTTTCTGTTTGCAAAAATAAAATAGTTCTCTTGCTCAAATCAGCTGTTTCATAATGTGGATTATGCGGCTCAAGACTAATGATAGAAATTAACTTGCTAAGAAGACCTCAGTCTTAGTATAGGTCCAAAAGCTGTTAATACTTGCATTATAAATGAGAGTCAATCCTTTTAAATCATCCCTTTTGAGTCCTTTTACCCTAATGTATTATTGATAAATTCCAGTATCAGCTTTTTCTGCATTGCTATGTATTGAATTTTCAGTAAGAATATGCGAGTCCCATGAAAACTCATGTAAAAGTTACAGACACCAGTTAGTAATTGACACCGTAGTGTCCTCTGAAGGAAAGAAATGTCATGTAAATATTGCAAGCAGCAGGAAAATATGGAAGAATCAAAACTACAAACAGCTGAGAAGAAAAATATATATCTTAGCATGTGTGTAGTGCATCTTTATCAAAGTATAAAACTTTGATAACCAAAGTCATAGAAGGTAGAATACTTACAGATGCTCCCTTGTGACAGTCTTGATTTGCATAATACCAAACCAGATGGTTGAAAACATAACAATACAAAACAAAACAAAAGACTCTTCTCAAAGGCAGAAACTTTCCTTCTGTAACAGAAAACCACTTCTTATGGAGTTCCAGCAGTCAAAGGCAGGGACTGGGAGAATGAAAAACAGACCACTGTAGAATATCAGGTTCAAGACCATGAAAGGAACTTAAAGGTGCACGAGTCTGTGGGACCTAATGAGATGTATCCATGGGTCTTGAAGGAATCGGCAGATGAAGTTGCTAAGCCACTGTCCATCATATTTGAGAAGTGATGGCAATCCAATGAAGTTCCCACTGACTGGAAGATTAGATGGGGCTTTGAGCAACCTGGTCTAGTGGGAGGTATCCCTGCCATGGGCAGGGAATTTATCAGTAAATAATCCTTAAGATTGCTTCCAATCCAAACCAAATATGGTTCTATGAGAACAGTCATAATTAAGTCTAATAATAAACAAAGGATCTTCCACTATGTCTCAGAAGCCAAAGTAGACATGAATGTTATTTATGTCACTGCACACATAGTCATAAATGGATGCTACTGACTACAGTGGATTAGGGAAACTTATTAACCGCTTTTCAAGAAAATATTCTGCCATTGTATAATTGTATACATGTATTCTTACATATAATGCAGTTAGAAATCCTACTTTATTATATAATATGAAAAAAAAAATGTTGTGGACTGTAACAGAAATTTGAGACCCATATACTTTTTTAATCGATTAAGAATCAATATTTCATACAGATAGGACTGTTATCAAATAAGATAGAAAAATAGCTCATCTGAGAAAACATCGATATTTTGCATAGTTCTTATGTAACTCTATGTGTTTGCATGTGCACGTGCCTTTGTGTATAGACATACTTTTGTGTATATTATATTCCAAGAAATCAATACAATGCCATGTTTTTGTTTAAACTTCTGTTTTGTAATATGGATTCTTGGAAAGGGAGATTCATGGCCTGATAATGTGGTGCAAATTGTCTTACAAGATTCTTAGTACTGGTCAATATGTTTACTGTTTTAGGAATAAAGCATTGCCCTTGACAGATATGTCCCATATCCTAAAGAACAATGAAATGTTTGGTGAACAGAAAGCAGGAGATACAAATTGAGAACACACTGAACAAGTTACATTTAAATGCTGTTCCCAAATTCTTCAGCACTTGCTCACAGCAGTTTTTTCCTTGACATCACAGAACAGTGCCTGATTTATGTCATATAAATAACAGGAGAATCCATGCTGTCATTTAAATATGCTTCATTGGAAAACAGTGAAAACAATTCTAGAGGCATGCATTTTTGAACAGCATAAGCAGTTCAACTGCAAAAGCAGATATCTGCATTGATTCAAAGTCACTTACTGAGGAGAAAACAAATAGAGAAAAACTACTTGTTCTCTTCTTGTCTAAGTTTACTGAATTTTTACTAGTTCTATCACCTCTTCTTTCTCTTTAACATCTAGGCAAAAGTGAGTGCAATTAGTTGTAAGCTTTTTTTAATTTTTGGACTACTATATACTATTTTGCTATTACTTACAAAAAGCCTTAGGCTTTGCATTGACCTGACCTTGCAAGATTTCATGGTTTATCTGGACTTGTCTTGGCCTGCACTGGTTTTAGCTTCTTTTTTGCTATGGTAATAATTGTCTAGCTATCAGGTTAGTGTTATCCGATTTATTTATTTATTTATTTTAGGCTTTAGTTTACGTTGTGGAATTGGATGGCATATTGCCTAGATTTCATGGATAAATAAAGTAAAACAAGTATGTACTTTGTGCAGGGTGAACTACCTCTGACTCAAGAACAAAAATGTAGGCTTTAGATGAGTGCAAGCCAAGTATTTCACAAGAAGCACTAAACAGAAATCACAGTGGCCAGCTACTGGTGACTAAAAGAATATACAAGTACACAAATAAATAAATAAAAACTGAGTCAGATGAAAGAGGTTTTAGGGATAATAACATAAAAAAAAATAATAAAAAAAAAGCACAATGCAACATTAGAAAACAGTAAAGTGCTAGGTGAGTTACTGCAAGAATGAAGCCTTATTGAGGAGGACTGAAGCTGGTCACCCTTGGACACAAATGGACATTGGGCAGGTGAGAATAACACCACAGGAAAATGAATAGATCCTAGAAGTTTTTTGTTTGTTTGTTTTTTAATCAGTCTTAAATGTGTTATTAACTGAAAGTTTCAGTATCATCATAAATTAAATATAAAAACAGCTGAACTTTGTTTAGATTGCTTTTCACCTTAAGTACTGTGTGCAGTTTGGGGCACAACAGTATAAGAAAGACAAAAAAAAAACCTGATAGCGTCCAAAGAAGGGCTATGATGATGGTGAAGGGTCTAGAGGGGAAGATGTATTAGGAGTGGCTGAAGTCACTTGATTTGTTCACCCTAAAGAAAGAGGGGAGACCTCATAGTGGCCTACAGCTTCCTCACGAGGTGCAGCAGAGTAGGAGGCACTGATCGCTTCTCTCTGGTGACAGCAATAGTACTTGGAGGAATGGCATGAAGCTGCATCAGGGGAGGTTCAGGCTGGATCTTAGAAAAATGTTCTTCAAAATGTTCTTCACTGAGAGGGTGGTCGGGCACTGCAACAGACTCCCCAGGAAAGTGGTTATGAAACCAAGCCTGACAGAGTTCAAGAAGTATTTGGTCAATGGTCTTAGAAATACGGTCTGATTTTTGTGTGGTCCAGTGTAGACCCAGGAGTTGGACTCCACAGTCCTTGCAGGTTCCTTCCAATTTAGGATATTCTGTGATTCCGTGATTCTAAATGTTAATTATGCTAAGTTCTTAGTTTGGTATGTAAGGTGTTACTTTTGACCCAAGAGAAGATTTTAAGTGTAGTACTTCATACACTGTTTGCCACAATGTAAATGATTCACAAATACTTGTGACTGAAGCCTCCTCATTTCAAACAGAAGAACTCTTATGCTGGGTTGTGCTGAAACTGTTGACCATGGACCTCTTTCTTTAGAAGAGATGGGTAGGTTATGGTTAAGTAAATAGTATAAAACTAGGTGAAACAGAGAAGAAGAACTGTTCCTCCATGCTGTCCCTCTCATCATCAGTTTGAAGTTTAGGAAATTCTTGAGTTAGATATGTTTAATAGCCTCTGTTGGACTAGTCCTCCATGAATTTGTCTAAGCCATTCTGAAGTAATATATAGAAACTTTTGGACATAAATTCCACAATCCACTTAGACGGTTAAAAAGATAAACGTAAAGCAAACCAAACAAAAATACCCACTTCTTTCTTTTCACAGAATGGCCAAGGTTGGAAGGTACCTCTGAAGATCATCTAGTCCAACACCCTTGCCAAGCAGGATCACCTAGAGCATGTTGCACAGGATCACACCTAGGTGGATTTTGAATATCTCCAGAGAAGGTGATTCCACAGCCCCTCTGGGCAACCTGTTCCAGTGCTCTGTCACCCTCACAGTAAAGAAGTGCTCCCTCATATTGAGCAGAACCTCCTGTGCTTCAGTTTGTGCCCATTATCTCTCAGTCTGTCACTGGGCACAACTGAAAAGAGACTGGCTCCATCCTCTTGACACCATCCCCTCAGTTATTTGTACACATTAATGAGGTCTCCCCTCAGTCTTCTCTTTTCCAGGCTAAATAGTCCCAGTTCTTTCAGCCTGTCCCTGTACAACAGGTGCTCCACCTGTATTTTGAATGCATACTGATCTTCATTTTTTATGTCAGCAAAAGCAACAGTGCACCTTATCCAGTATATTGTTAAAGTCATCTTCTGAGCTATGCTTTACAGTTATAAACAAGTCTGTTGGTATTTTGTGCTTCATTAAGAGTTATTGAATAATACTAATTCAGACAATTATAAATAAATTAAAACAAAACAAAACAAAACAAAAACAAAAGCATAGAAATACATACTTTGCCACACAATTTTTCTGTTTTGTTACTGACAGATGAACCCATCTGCTTCTTTCTTGAGACTTTAGGATCTGTAGGGTGTACTCCAACATGTTTTTAAGTCTGAATAACCTGACTTGGTCAGTATTTCTGAACAGGGACAAAGAAGTCCCTAATAACTTTGTTTTTATGATTAACATTCATCCTCGGTGTACTCATTTGATACCAAGACATTTATAACAGGGACAATAAACAGGTCTTGGCATTTCCAAGTTCATTTCCTTGACCTAATATAGAGACATAATCATAATCTTAGGTCTTCTTGCAAGAAAGCTTCCCTATTCCCATTAGCGCTGAAGCAAATATTAGCAAAGATTAGGATTGCTTTCACACTGGAGAAAATTTTGCTTTAATACAGTATGTTTGGCAGCTCTTCTGTCCTCTCAATGAGGGCAGATGTAATACGAAGTACTATATCATGCCTATGAAAAAGAGCTATAACAATTACAGCAGTGTCAGTACTTTTAAAATAGTTCAGGTTTCTTCCTTTTCAGGTTTTCTTATTCTTCCAGTTGGTATGTGAGTGACTGTCTTCTCCTGCATTGCAATGCTCCTGAATATATACAAATTGTACAGGATTTTATTGCTATCAGGGGGAAGAGCTTGGCTGTGCTATGGATAAGCTTATTATTGAAGACCATCAGTTCCCACATCCAGAAATGCCTTCTGTAGCTGTGTAAAGCTGTCTGGCATCCCCAGGACCTGTGTATACATGGTGACAGATCATCATAATTGAGTCTCTCTGCTCTATTGGTTTAATTACCAGGAAGAGTTTGCTTATAAAATGAGTAGTCAGGTTTTATACCTTATTAACTTTGTTACGTTACAGTGCCAGTGTTGCGCAACTCCAGTTAATGTGTTGTCTATCCTTTGTGACCTCTCTGACTTTCTTCCACTCCTCCTTCCAGAATTTATTCACTTTATCATCACTGCAGACAGAAGGTTACAAAGGATGTATCATGGCTGGGCAAAGATGACAGCAAAGAGCTCTGTACAGTCTAGGAATACGACATGAGAACTGTTCGACCAGCTGAGACAGCAAATAAAGCAAATTCTGAATATTTCCAGAGGCTCAGAGATGCACAGAAAGGAGCTGAGTAATCTTAGTGAGTTACTGAACCACAGGATGATGCCATTAAAAGTTATTTATTTCTGCACGTGAATACATTCATACAGGGTAAAAAAAAAAAAAAAAAAAAAAAAAAACAAACAAAAAAAAAACATAATACAGAGATCTTTAAAAAGCATAATACAGAGATCTTCGACTCCGTGGAAACCTGTAAAAGCCCATAGGATACTGAACAGTGTTATATGGTCTTGCCCAGCAGGACCTACAAGGAGCCTATCTATATTTGCTGTGAATGGTGTCCTAACTAATAAATCCTCTCTGTTGGCAGGGATGCAATACCACACACAAACACAGCAAAGAATATCTTTGTTCTGCTTTTCATTTCCCCACCTTTGTGGTTCAGATCAGTATGAAGAATTAACTGCTCCTTGTATAAATCCAAAAATGCTGTACGTGGCAGAGCATAAAAGGCTTCGGTGTTTAGCACAGCACCACTTCACAAGCACTTTTATTCCTGCCCAATCTGTGGACAAAGGTTAATGGTTTAAAAACTACTCCCATTTCACTTGGCCATACTTGTACTAAGAGATTATGAAAATAGCATTCTTGATGTGAAACTGAGCTGCATCTGCTCCATCCAGATCCTTGCAATGCTTTGTGCTTTCTCAGACCCTCATGTTGCTTTCCTCTATTAATGGTCATGCTTAGGTATCCTGTTATAAACAGAAAACACAGCTCAATAAACATGGATTTTAACGTTAGTTGTGTACCAGATCTTAAGCTCTCCATCAGCATTGTTCCCCCATGATATATGTGATATCTACTATAGGTCCTTAACAGTCAGCGTCAATATTGTCTGGAATTCCTGTGACAGTTCATACCAGGAATGTGCTACCACGTGTAGTGTCAGGCATTATAAATGCATGTTACCATTATCTTTTGAGGTTGTCTGACAAACTGCTCCAATATTTGCCATGAAATACAAAGTCTTTCCGGTATATGGATGTGCAACAACTTAATTGTCTTGGACTTCCTTGCTCGATCTACTGTCTTGAATCAAACTAAAATTTATCTTATATGAATGCTCCTGGCTCTGGTAACTTGTCCACTATTAAGTTATACAAAATCATTTCTCTAGGCCTCAAGTGATATAATTGTTCCAAGATAAAGTTAGGCTGAATTTATTAAAATTTACACCAGAGGTGTTTTTAATCCTTAGATGGCAACTACCATATTGTGGAGAAGCATATTTCTGCATATCTCACAATATATCAAGAAACTGATGTTTCAGTAAACTTGACTATTTGGAAACTTTAAATATCACACTTAAATATTATAGTCAGATAAGAAAACTACCAGTGAAAATTGTTATCTTTCTTTAATTACTAGGTAAAAATGTAGGACAGGGATTTCACCTAACAGCCAATCAGATAATAAGATGAAAAGTAGACTGAGATGCTGTATGAAACATCATACCAAAGAGCCACAACTGTGTATTCAGTGAGCAGACGTATTGCAGATCCTGATAACCAGGGATTAGATCATAGGTCTGTCTGATTTGTGTCTTGCCTGAAGCACTTGACAAAACCTGGTAACTGATGACAGTTACACTTAGTCTCACAGTTAAATAGGTTCATTACATTACAGGTGCATTAAGTCAGACAGAAAGGGTAATGCTCCTGCCCACACAGAAAGAACAGACTGACCACTGCATCACACAGATTCACTCCTTGTCAGCCCAGGCTGCTCACTGCAATAGTCAACAGTTTGCCACAGGTATCACTTGGTGACAAATACAACAATTAAGGATTTGTCACATCATATGTGTTTGGCAGCAATTTCTATTAGCACAGTCATCAGGTGATTTTTCATGGTATCCATTATTACTGATCAAAATATAACTCTAATCAGCAATGAGATGCCATTTTAAACTGCACTGTAATAAGGGGAATCCTGTAGAGAAGACAAGGGAGGCAGTCATTCAGTGTATTATGGTATTGGGGAGTTTAGAGAAAAGCAAAAAAAATACTTAAAACAGGATAAAAAAAAAGAGAGAGAGAGAGAGAGAGAGAGAGAGAGAGAGAGAGAGAGAGGAAGATGATCTTCTAAAAGGGAAAGGACAAGTGAAATACAAATCTCACCATTGCCAAATAAATAAATAAATAAATAAATAAATAAATAAATAATAAAAAAGTATTAATTTGAAGTAAGAAATTGGGGACTGCAGTTTATGAATACTTCTGCTAGAAGCTTCGTTTTCAGCAGTTTTTGACACCAGTTTACATTAGCAAGTCATAGATGTCCTCAGGCTGGCCCACCTGAGAGGAAGGGACTATATAAGACAAGTTGTCAAGGCAACTTAATCTCTTCTTTTCAGTGACTGAAGCCTTTTTCCTAACTTTGCTATCTATATGCCTGCCTCCTAAATCCTGCTTTCATTTTCTGTGTTCTTCCAGTTTGGTTCCAGAGTCAAATTCAAAATAGAATAAAACAAATTTTTACAGTGTATTGAGCTTCCTGGATTACAGAAAGGCCACTTTTATGGCTTTCTACAGGAGCTCAGGTGCCTGCCTTTAACAGTGTTTGCATATCATACTGACTGAGTGTCATTGTCACCTGTTCTATGCTTCCATGATATGATAATGGTGAATTAAGTCCTCTCCTGAGCCACTGATACTTTAAACCTGAAACTCTGGGGTTCTTTAAACTGTGTTTCATTACTGTACTGGGTCTGGCTGGGATTTTAGCTTTCCCTGCAGCAGCCCATACAGTGCTGTGCTCTGCACTTGTAGCTAGAACAGCAGTGGTATCACACCGGTGCTGTGTCTGCTGCTGAGCAGTGCTGGCACAGCATCTCTACCCTCCTAGAGGGTGGGCAAAAAAGTGAGAAAGAAACACCACCTGGGCAGCTGACCTGAACCAACCTAGGGGATATTCCATACCATATGATGTCACACTCAGCCATAAAAGGTGGAAAAAGGAAGAAGAGGTGAGGGGTGGGCTCTCATTGGGAAAACATCTGTCCCGAACACCGGCTGCGTGCGTTAAGGCCCTGCTTCAAGGACATGGTCAAGCATCACTCATCTGTGGGAAGTAGAGAGTAATTTTTTTCCTCTGCACTTCCACATAGCCTTTACTTTTCTTTTTTCCTTCCCCCCCCCCCCCCCCCCTTTCCTCTTCCTTTTCCCCTTTGCCTTTTTCCCTTTAGTTAAATTGTTTGATTAATAATAATCTTTCCTTAATAATTATTTTTTTTCCTTTAATTAAATTATCCTTATCTGAACCCATGATTTGTTCTTTCCTTTACTTCTTCCCCTCCTCATCTAAGGCTGCAAGTGCACTCAGTACTCTGGTTTCTATGGTGCGGAAACTTTGAATTTTGAATTGGGACTACCATGTGATTTCATAGTGTGATTTTACAGCATGAATGAAAAAGCATTTACATTACAGCATTTTTTTTTTCCCTTCCAAACTGGAAGGGAATTCAACACAGAATTTTAAGGAAACTTGGTCCAATGATCTCCAGAATCAGATTTTTTCCTGAAGGTCCATTACCATTCTTTTGGTTAACCCCCTACAGTTCCAGTTCTCAAACAAACTCTGCTCTGCACTAAAGAGATAATGAGCATTAAATTTATTGGTATGTCCATTTGGCATTTCCATGTTCCTTTCCTCCCTCTGCAAGAAATGTCAGCAGGATTTTTAACCTACTTGAGCCCCATGCACAAATGTTTGCTAAGAAGGACTTTTCTGCAAAATGTTTTCTTCCTGCTGTTTTCCCTCATCAGCAGAAAATGCTTATTCATCTCAAGGGAAACTTTTTTAATTAGAATGTGTTCTTCTTCCAAGATGTTGTGCTTAGAAATTTCTTAAGACTGAGGGTGTAAGTCTGGGTCAGAGGAATTCCCCTCTGTTGCTGAATAGCCCAAGTCACTATGGGATAAACACAACGCAAGCCCTTTTTTCTTCCTCTACATGAAGACCATTCCAATGCAAGTACAACATCATTTGATTTTTTTTTCCCCCATAATTCAGTTAATAACTGAAAAAAATATATTTTTTTATTTCCTTTTTTTTTTTTTTCCTTGTTATTTTTTCCCTCCTCTATAAGGAAACTCATTGGCAGAGGATTACTTAAAACAAAACTTAAAAAACAAAACAAAACACTTAAATAAATAAATAAATAAACAGTTAATGTACTAAATCAGAAAAGGGTCGTGTTGTTACTTGCTCAGGCTAACTATGAAGTTCATAAATTTTACATTTGTGTTCTGAAGAACTAAAATTTGCAGGGGTGGAGAGGAAGTGAAATATGTTAGGGAAGAGAATAATTATTTAAATAATCAGGAAGGATATTGTTCTTTTAGCAAGAATCACCAAAAATAAATTCATCTGGCTGCAAGAAAATTAATGAGATACCTGCACCTCTTTATGGTGTGGTGGCAAGAATAAGTTGTGAGCTTGAAAGGCTTGGTTGTGTTAAGCTGAGAAAAGTCCTAAAAGCTATGGGGAATTCTACATTCATTTGTACTCATGCAATCTGACTGACTTCACTGAATTTGAATGAAGGTATCCTCAGACCTTTCAGACTTATAGGATGATCTTGTGGACATAATTTCCACAAAACGCGTAATATTCCTTTAGTCTTGTTGGGAACACTAAGACTGTAACACACAGGATTGAAATATCAATACTTTGATATTATCTTATCTCTTTTCTGTCAATGTGCAGAAACAGGGTTCTGGGCTAAAATTAAATGGGTATCTTTTCTATGTATCTCTTCTACTGAGCTATCTAAAAGATCTAAAAGATAGCTCAGTAGAAGACCTCTCTGTAGGTCTATTAATAAGCCTACTTGTACGTGTACTAAATCATTCACAAGAAGGAGGAGAGTGGAGGAAGCCCGAAAGTCTGTGGAAAAATACTCTGAGATGAAAAGATATTAGAAAGAAAATACTTAATTTAGAACTTAGCTTTCCAGTTAAAATCTAGCATGAAAATGGAGAAATATTTGTGTAAGAAGGAGGAAATGCCATTTTATTTTGTCCATTTCACTAATAGCATTCAAAACTCAGTATTTCTTATCTTTATGCTTTATTGCCATATAAATGGTCAACTACTTGGTACACTTTGGAACTTACAAGTATCACTTACAGCAGATCTACAAATGAAACTAATCTTCAGTGATAATAGCACTTACCAAGAACAGTCTGATGGATTTGAAATATATATCTGCTCTTCCTTACTCCCTTCTTGTTTTAGCATAGTAGTCTATCTTTCCAGTTCAAATGCAGCCTTTGTAGTTTTACTTTGTGGTATGTTTCTGATGTCTTCTGCCCTTGTCTGTGTAATTCATGTTTGAAATGCAACAAAAGACTTCAGAGAACAAAAGAACTATATAAATCCTTCCTTAAATCCTTCAATCTTCAAATAATAATAATAATACAAAAAATGAATTAATGTTTGTAAATCCAATAATGGGACAAGATCCAACCATTCATGGTGACATTTGCAATTCAGTTCTCTGTTACCAGGATGATCAAAGCAAGGACAAATTTCCATCCCCAAAAGCCACTGTTTAACTGCATAAGCTGTCAGTAACCAAAGTGTGCTTTGATTACAAGATGTGCCAAAACATAAAAATACAAGAAAGAACAAAATGGTCATTTCTGATATCTCTTCTTTGAAACAAAAATAAAAACAATTTTAAATGCATCTGTACATTTTTTCAATGGATTTTTAACAGGTGAACTGCTTTGGC